CGCTGCCAGGTCCTAGAGCAAGTGCCCACCTGTCCCCCGGGGTGCAGAGTAAAGTGCCCCCCTAACCCCAGAGGCTTGAACTTGGTCCCTTAGGGCCTCCATAGACTCAGAGTTATTAAAACCATTTCTTCCTTCCTGGACATAAAGCAATCCTCAGTACCCTCACTCACCTCCCCCCCCAAATCAGTCTAGTTCCTTACAGAGTCCCACGGCAGAGTTTCATTTCGTTTCTTCCTGGCTCCAGGGCCCTAACATTCGACAAGATCTCCCCAAGATGTGAGATGGTCTCTATCAGTGGTTCTCCTACTTTAGCGTTCATAGGCATCAGCTGGAAAGCTGTGAGAATGTTTTGGGGCCATCCCAAAGTTTCTGGTCCAGTGAACTCTGGCTTTTCTGTCTCATAAGGCACAAGTTAATGCCAAGGGTGCTGGTCTGAGACCCATGCCATGAGAGCCATTGGTCCTTAAGAACCACAAGGCCACCTCTTTTAAATATATATATATATATATATATATATATATATATATATATATATAATTTCAGAGAGGAAGGGAAAAGGAGAGAAAGATAGAAACATCAATGGTGAGAGAGATCATCATTGATCGGCAGCCTCCTGCACACCCCTACTGGGGATTGAGCCTGCAACCCTACATGTGTCCTGACCAAGAATCGAACCGTGACCTCCTGGTTCATAGGTTGACGTTCAACCACTGAGCCACACCAGCCAGGCAAGGCCACCTCTTTTTGAAGGACATTCTTTTGACCAAGGACTTTATATATTCCAGCTTTGTGGTCTTCTCCGTCCTTCCCGATGTGTAGCCATTGCTCCCTGGCCCTCACGCCAGGTTTTCTGAGGACACTCTGCTCTCCTATGTCTGCTCAGGTGGTTCTTTCCACCTGGAACCCGCTTCATCTGGACAAACATCATTCACCCTTCACAACCCACACACGTGCCGTGTCCCTCATGACACCTTCTTGGGTCTCTGATCTAGCCCAGGGCTGTCTCACAGAACTAAAAGGCGAGCGAAATGTAAGCCACGTGTGTAATTTTAACTTTGCTGGCAGACATATTTTAAATTATTTTTTAATATATTTTTATTGATGTCAGAGAGGAAGGGAGAGGGAGAGAGGGATAGAAACATCAACGATAAAAGGGAATCATTGATTAGCTGCCTCCTGCATGCCCCACACTGGGGATCAAGCCCACAACCTGGGCATGTGCCCTTGACCGGAATCGAACCCAGGACCCTTCAGTCTGCAGGCCGACGCTATAGCCACTGAGCCAAACTGGCTAGGGCTGGCAGACATATTTTTAAAAAGTGAGAAGCAGCAGCTGAAATTAAAATTAATTTTATTTAGCCCAGTATTTACTAAATTTTTCTTTTCAACATGTCAATAAAAATCATTCATGTGGTATTTTACATTCTTTTTTTTCCGTAAAACATCTTCAAACGCCAGTGTGCACTGTGAGTCTCCGGCACATCTCAGTCAGGCCTGGCCACCTTCCGGATGCTCACGGCCACACGGGCGAGTGGCTGTCACATTGGACACTGTCGATGCAGATGTATTTTCTCTTTGCTCTGAATCCCCTCGGCCTTCTATCCGCGCCTCTGTTAGAACACACGTCACTTTGCAACTCGAAGATGATGGCTGTGTTTTAATGCTGCTGCTGTTTTTAGTCCCCTGAAGTGCTTGGTGCGGGCCTGTATGTAGGACATGATCAATGAATATTGGCTGCTGAGTGATGAATGACTGTCACGGCCCGAGAATATAGCAAAGACAGGGAGCCCATGGTAACGAACATTTGACTCCGAGGGTCTCCTCCTCCCCGTGCCTGGTTTGTATGTGGCTGTTAGATCTTTGAGGAGAGAGACATTCACGTTTTAGAACCGCCCCCTCACCCCAATAAGTTTCCTGTTTCACTTTGCTCTTCAACTCAGTGCATTAAAAAAAAAAAAATTCCCACCAGGAGGGCCCAGGAAACAGGAAAAATAGTTGTGCTATTGGTTTCATGTTTGGAGAAGAACAGGGTTCTCACTATCTCCGTGGCACTTGGCGTGAAAGTGGGCTTTGTTGATGGAGACACTGCTCCCATTCAGGGCCCCCTTGCCCAGCTGCTGAGAGCCGGGCTGTGTTTTGACAGACGGGCCGAATGCAATGCAGACAGTTGTTTTAATTTCCAGCCAGATGCAGACATCACTCACATGGAGCCCGAAACCCAAGAAAGGAAGGCCGGGCACTGGGCTGCGGCTCTCAGGCCTCGGAGGGTGGGTGGGAGGGGGCCAGGCGGAAGCCGAGCGGGCGGCCGGGGTCACAGATATCCCCAAGGGCTGAGTCCCAGGCCCGGAGAGGCACACTAGGACAGTGTGTGGCAAGCACCTGTCAGAAAGGTAGGAATCGCAGGCCTGGAACCAGAGGTCAAGGGTTACTCCTTAAAGCAGCGGTTCTCAACCTGTGGGTCGCGACCCCTTTGGGGGTCGAACGACCCTTTCACAGGGGTCGCCTAAGACCATCGGAAAACACATATATAACTACATATTGTTTTTGTGATTAATCACTATGCTTTCATTATGTTCAATTTGTAACAATGAAATTGGGGGTCACCACAACATGAGGAACTGTATTAAAGGGTCGCGGCATTGGGAAGGTTGAGAACCACTGTGCTTAAAGCAATGTGATATCCGTGGCTGGTGGCGATGGCTGGATGTTAGCTTTTAACTGTACAAGTTATACTGGACAAAAAGCATAACCAGTGTCAGGGCGGAGTTAGGTAAACAGTGAGAAACCGAATCCTGAGTGGCAGAGTGGAAGGACTAGATCAGCCCTCCTCGGAGAGCAGGAATCCTTCACAGCCCCCGACACAGGTCACTTTAACTGCTTACACGTCCCACTGGGGGGCGCTCCTCCGGAAGGAAGGTCCGGAGCATTATTGCACAGCCTTGCCTTTCTTCTGTTGAGCTTATTGCAGCCACACTGCTGCCCTTCACACATTGATAAACAGCCTCCATGGCCAACCTGAGATTCGTCTTTTTTGAGCCAAATAAACAGGCCAAGTCCATCCGCTGTGCTTGCGATGCCACATCCGGGTCCACCCCATTGTGACCTCCCTCTGGGAAGGATCCTTGGTTGAGCAACACCCCTCGTGGGGGGAGGGAGGGTGCAAAGACCTGAGCGGGGAGCCCCCTGGTGCGGGGCGGCCTCTCTCAGTCTTGACACTGTGCCTGTTTCCGCAGCCCATGAGCAAATTAGCCCCTCCAGCTACTCCATCGCCGTGTCAGGTCGTGTTGGGCATAGAGTCGACGCAAACCCTCAGGTCTCTTCCGCATGAGCTGTTTCAAACCAGCTATCCCCCAGCCTCCACTTAAAGGATGAATTTTTAAAAATCAAACTGCAGGATTTTACATTTCCCCTTCTTGCATTTTCTATTTTTGTGATTAATGGAAGGTTAGGGAAGTTTAAAGCGGATCATGTCACTCACTAACAGGAAGGCCTTGAAATAGAGAATCTTAAGTGTTATTTGTAAGCATAGCGGGGAAGGGGCAACAGAGCAAAAGAAGGCTCGCGAGGCTGGCGCCTTTGGTCATTGGGCCCTTGCTTACATCCCACCCGCCTCATCTCCGCCCCGCCATCCAGGGCGCACCCTACACATGCGCATACTGAGCTTGATTACTTACGTGGGTGATGGTCTTTCAGCTTGGAATGCCCTTCTAGGCCCATTGTTTCCCCACTCGCCTTTCCATCCTTCCTCGCAGCAGGTTGTACTGGGTGCCCCTTTTTTAAGCAACCAGGGCACACACCCATCCCAGGCACAGTGGAGAGCAGCTTGGTTTGTCATTTCCAACTCCCACTGGACGGTGGGCCCTGCGGCGGCAGGATCTGTGTCCAGTTTGCTGTTGTTTCTCTCGAGCGTAGCGTCCGAGCCTCCATACAGTGACATCTATTGAACATCTGCTGCATGAGCAGCGCCAGGCTCCCTCCCAGCCTCTCGGGAGGATGCTGTAAGGCATCTCCATCAGCTCCTTTGCCCCTGCCAGAGGCGGAACACTGTGCTGCTGGACCACAGGTTGTGTTTTCACTTGAGCTCACACATCCAGTAGGTGGGGGACCTCTACGCCCTAACAAATGAGGAGCTATTCCCAGCCCATTACTAGTAGATGTTTCTGCGGCCCAGCGGCCTCCTGCCCCAGCCAGCAACAGATACCTAGGACGTATCAACTGGAGAACTTCAACCTCCTGCCCCTCCTGCCCAGCCTTAATGTCGCACACACTGGGCATGGAGGGGTGAGTAAAGTCCAAACAGGCCCAGCTCAAGCACTGCAGGACACAACCGGGATGCCAGGAGGAGTTGGCAGGGGCTGCAGTCTTGGGGGGGTTGGAGGTGGGGGAGGGAGGGGCGTGGGAAGCTTGGATGTTCCCATTTAGCCAGACTTTTCAGATGCTGGGACATTTACTAAAGAAACGGAATTCAGACATCAGAGAATGGGGATAATTGGATCCAGGTGGTATGTTTGGTCGGCTGTAAAGAGGCTGTGCCACATGATGAATATTATTTGATAGGAAAAGTTTCTCCTCCTCTCCCTTTTCAAGTGTGTTCTGTGCAGGCAGGATGTCTCAGCCCAAGCCCAGCTGAAAGCTCTTCAGAGACGAGTTGGAGGCACGCGATAGCCTTTTAACAGAGTTAACCGTTTTCAGCACTTGGCAGGAGCAAGCCCAGCTCTCGCGAGGACTGTCGTGCGGGCAGAAGGACACTGAGTTTTTGCTTCATGGCAGGGAAGGCAGGAAGCCTGGACCTGCCACCTGAGAAACGCAGTCGGCTTAGCTGTGCCTCCTACCTGTGCCAGGCCAACCGATGTGAACATGGAGGCCACCAAAATGCCCCCCGGTGTCTCCCCTTTAGGGGTGGTGACGGTGCAAGTGTGGGGAGATTGTAGACGAGTCTGAACGCTCATCGGCGAGGCGCCGCTACCGGATCTAACCATGATCTCTCCTCTCTCCACCAGATCACCAGGGTCCCCGTGGAATCCTGTGAGCAGTACACGACTTGTGTGGAGTGCCTGAGCTCGGGGGACCCTCACTGTGGCTGGTGTGCCCTGCACAACATGTAAGTTGGGGACTGTTCTGAGAAAGGGCCGGGAATGCACAAGACCAGGTACTTTCCTGGGAGTGTCGACGAGGGATGTGACAGCGGTTTGCAGGGAGAGAGGGCTTTTCCTCTGCTGTGCCGGGAGCAGCAAGAGGAAGACAGGTCCCGGGGGGCCTCCTCCCACGCAGCGCCTTGGCCTCTCTGACTTTCATTGCACTTTAATATATATAAATATATATTTATTCTTGATTTCAGAGGGGAAGGCAGAGGGAGAGAGAGATGGAAACGTCAATGATGCGAGAGAATCATTGATCGGCTGCCTCCTGCGTGCCCTCCACTGGGGATCGAGCCTGCAACCCAGGCATGTGCCCTGATGGGGAATCAAACCGCGACCTCCTGGTTCATAGGGTCAGTGCTCAACACCTGAGCCGCTGGCCGGGCTCTTCCATTGCACTTGTAAAGCCTGCACTCCCCGCCGCTCTCGGTCTGTACCTCGTCAGTACGGAAAGGGTAATGGTTTGGGGAAATCTCGAGCGGGAAGCTGTAGAATCTCTAGGTTTCCCGAGAACCTTCTGGAACCTTCTGGGGCAGCCTGAGCAGGTGTCTCCTGTGTGAGTGTGCAGATGGCCGGGCAGTAGAGTCGGGACTTTGGACTCCACGTAGCTGCTGTGTGGCCCAGGGTGGTCCACTGACTCCTCTGGGCCCCCGTCGCTCAATAGGGACAGTGCCTACCTCCCAGGTGAATTGTGAGGATTAAATGAAATCATAAACGCTCTGGAAACGAGGAAGCCCAGAATAGGCTGCACAAATCAAAATAACGCCTATGGGCTCTGAACTCTTGGGGGCACCCTTCTGGCCTCATTATCTCAGGATTCCAAGAAGTCTGCCTCCCACTCCTCCTGGCCACATACCCCAATTTAGTTACACAGACACACACACCCGCCATTGAATGCCAGCTCCATAGAAATGCAAAGTTACACTTAAATTTCTGAATTTGAAGAGCCGCAGAGGGAGAGAAAAGGGTGAAACCCTGAAAGGCAGGCGCTGACTAGGAATTCTGTTCCCCAGCGGAGTTGGAAACTCCGTGGCTCGGTGCCAGCCGGCAAAGCATCTCTATGAAATGCGCCGGGTTTGGGTTTGGGGTGGAGGCGGAGGCGGGGGCCAGAGTTCAGGGGCCGCACAATAGCTCTTGGCTCCCAGCCTCTGCAGCAGGTGTTGGGAGGGCTACGGAGGGAGAGAGGGAAGCAGGCGCCTCGCAGATGCAAAATCTGGACTGGATCGGAGCCCACAAATACTGGGTTCCCCGCTTGGGTTTGCAAAAAAAAAGTTTTGCATAAAAATGCTTGCACTGGAACCCGGACATGGAGTCCCCATTAAGGGCAGGCAAGGGATGAAGATGGCTGGTGACACCCCTGTTGTGGCCCGGGAATGGCAAAGGTGCCTAAAATTGGGTTCCCTCCTGTGAGGCTGACCTGCCCACTGGGCTCTCTCCTCCAGAGGAGTTCTCCCTCCAAAGAACCCGACAGCCACGCAGCGTGTCCCGGGTACCTGCCCTCTCACTGGGCAGTGGGCACGTCCAACTGTACCACTCACTCCCTGCTGCCCCTGCCTTGGCCACCAGCTCCTGCCAGCATCACTTCTCCCAGGTAGAACACACCAAAGTTATGGACGGAGGATTGCCATCCGTTCAGCAGCGAGGACATCCACATTCCTCGATTGATTTGTAGTTGTGCCTACAAACCTGTCGGCAATGCCTGAGCCTCCTGGTGGCCCCGGCCCACCCCTGTCATCCTCCAGGCCAGATATGGCTTCTAGAATGACTGAGCCACGTCTCATAGTCTCAGATGTCCTCTGCCCTCCGAACTGCTTACCTGTCCTCAGAGACACCCTGCCACCTGCCAGGGTACACCTCTCCTTCCAGCCACTCTGCCTGCCAAGAGTAGGCAGGGAGCAAGCTTTTTCCTGTTCACACCCAGAGCTTTCTTCTCTCTTCTTCACCAGCCCCTCCTGCCACCCTTCCCACAGGCCACCACCAGCCTGCCTGGGGGAGGGAAGGAGGCGAAGGGCCCAGCTCAGCTCCCGGGCCCACACGCAGGACTTCAGCGGAGGCAGAGGGCCGAGGGAGATTGCTCAAGAAGCTCTGGGTCCCGGGGGATTCGCAACCTTCCTGTCTCTTCTGTGTGCCTTGCTCTTGCGAGTTTGTTATTGTCTCCGGGGCTATTTATCTCTGTTAGGGCTGGTGCCATAAATAGTATGATAAAAAAGAGCCGTTTCAGCGAGTCAATGAGATAAAGGCTCCAGTCAAGAGCTCACTTTAGAGCTATCTTAAGGATTCACTTAAACCTCCATAATTCTTTTCTGTGACAGCATTCATATTTAGATCCATTATGTGCCTGGAAAGGAAGAGGGGGAAGGGCGGAGGAGTTCCGTGGGATCACTGCCCCGCTCCCCCCCCCCCCTGCACTGGGGAATCTGGTACTGTCCCCGCTGTGTCCCCTGGCTATTAGTTTGGGGAAGCACCAGCGTGTTCCCGTGTGGCATAAGTGGCAACCACATGCCCCTGTGTGGAGATGCCACGGTGCCCACCTGCCACCGTGGGCCGAGGCGCCGGGAGCCAGAGATAAAGTTGTCGGGAAACAGCCACACAGTATTCTGACAGAGGCAGCCCTGGCTGCGACTCCTCGTCTGTCTCCCTGTCTCCAGGCATTATTTCACACCACACACATCTATTTAAAATGTGCCGCGTGACAGGTAGAATATCTCAGTGAATAAAACACGGTCCCTGCCTTCAGAAAGCCATTGACCCAGCCACAAGATCACATGTATGTTGTCCCACACAGCTAAGACCCTGGGCAGACTTTCAGATATCCCCGGAGAAGAATAGGAATAGTCATTATTGATATTATTATTATGACAGGGGCCAGGAGGCCATTTTCTAAGCAATAACTCATATAATCCTTGCCACAACCCTACAAGATAAGGTCAACATTTTACAGTTGGGGAAACTGAGGCACAGAGAGATTAAATAATTTGCCCAAAGGGCCACAGCCAGCGTGCCATCGACATGGGTTAGAACCCAGCTCGCCTGGCTCCAGACTTTCTGTTCTTAGCCTCCTGTGCGCTCATGGTCCCCACCTCCCCTCCCTGGCTCATTGAGAAACCTCTAAAGATGCTGACTAGAGCTATGCTTTGTGTCTCAACCGAATCTCTCATTCTGGGAGTTAATCCCACTTCCTCCTAGCCTGTCTTTCACAGCAATAGAGACCATTGGGGAGGCACCCAAGCCTCTGGGATGAGAGAAAGTGGTAATGAGGGGACCAGCCACAGGCCTCAGAGCAGCAAACCCCTCTTGCTTACGCCTAGGGGACAATGGAGCCCAACAGAGGGGCCCCGCAGGCCTGACCTCTTGCGAATCTGTGTCTGTGGTAGGTGCTCCCGCAGGGACAAGTGCCAACGGGCCTGGGAACCTAATCGATTTGCTGCCAGCATCAGCCAGTGCATGAGCCTCGAGGTGCGTCCCAGCAGCATCTCCGTGTCTGAGCACAGCCGGCAGGTAAGTCACTCACCCAGGAGGACAGGGGGACACGGAGCACACACACGTGTGGGCGGGTTCCTTTAACACTCGCACAGGAAGCTGTAAATGGATCGTGCTTTCCATGCTCCACGGGAACTGTATTTATAGAAAACCCGCGGCAACTGCTTTTGTAAAGGGCACAGTCATCCTGCATGCCCCTTGCAAATTCATTATCCATTGATCTGTTTTGTAAACCTCGATTTTGCATTTAGCAACCAACATCTACAACATCCTGCAATCCGATAGCAGATAACACATTCTTTGGTAGATGCTGTATTTATAATCCTCCACCCATACAGCCTCTCACAGAAACCTGAGAGTTGCATTTGTGTGTGTGTGTGTGTGTGTGTGTGTGTGTGTGTGGAACAGAGACAGACTTAATTCACAGTGTGTGTGTGCTTTAAAGAGAATATTAAAGAGAAGACAATAGCCCTTAACCACCTGTCAAAGTGCAACCCCAAATATTTCATGTCCTCGGGCCCTGCACAATTATTTCATTCTGAAGTTTTATGAGCATTCACGAATGTTAATTAGTTAATGAACCTTCCAAGATTCCCGTTCATTCATCCCCACGGGGAGGCTTTGGCTCCCAGGGAGCTGAGGGAACAAATAGTGGAGTTTGTACCTAAGTCTCTGGGCCCCATGGAAACGAAACTGGGGCAGAGATTCAGCAGCAAGCAAATGTATGGGTAGGCGAGGGGACACCCACTGTGACCGCGAAGCCCACTGCTGCTAACTCCCGCCAGGTGACGGTAGGAAGACCCAGGGAGGCCCATCGACGTCACGGCTCCCAACGCGGAGGCCACAGGGCTGATGTATGTCACTGTGACCCCTTATGGGCACCTCCCACTGCCAGAGGGAGCCGGTCTCATTTCTCACATGTTGTTTTAAATACCACTTAGAGGTGATATCGTGGTCATTGAGTACAAGCTCACTTCCAAGTGCACTGAATTCAGCGCAGCATCTTGCCATTAAATGGTTTCTCAAGCAGCAGATTCTTCTGGCAATCGGGCAGTCGGGTATGTTTTTACCATTCCCAGGAGGGTGTTCACCCTGGAAAAGGCTGGCCACCACTGGCCTAGGTCTCTGGAAGCTGTTGCAGGTACCAGCTGACATCATCCACGCCCCTGGCGCCCATTCCCTGCTTTCTCTCATCCTCTCCGCACCCTGGGAAGTGACTGCCCCTCCAGGGGAGCTGTCAGCAGGCCGAGAGCCCAAGAGGGACAAATAAACAGAAACTTGAACACGTTCACCCCATTGATAAGCAGCCCCTGAACCTCGAAGGACAGCCAGAGTGAGGAGCTGGCTGTCTCTCACCAACCTGGTGAGCTCCTGGGAACCTCCAGGTTGGTGACACTTACTCTCCCAGGAGCCAAGGCTACAGCTTGTGAAGGGCTCAGCTCATGACTTGCTTTCAAGCTTGTGTGGGTGGCTTCATGTCAAAATTAGCTGTGTCTGAGATGGATTTGGGTACCTTTCCCCCGAGGGCACCCCACCCCAGTAATTCATAATAACATTAATAAAGACCATTGACCCTGGCAGCGCTGCTGTAATTGTTCAATGTCAAAGCCAGATCACCGACATCAGCATCCTTTCTTACAGATGAAGTCAGGGGAGATTAGTGAGGCGGCGGCAACGGCAGGGCCAGGACTAGGGCCAGGTCTCCACACCCTTGGGGCTCTTCCAAGGGCATCAGCTCTTTGCTTCTGAGCCTCTTTGCTCCTCCCACAGCTCAGCCTGGTTGTGAATGATGCTCCAGATCTGTCTGCGGGTATCAAATGTGCCTTCGGAAACCTGACAGAGGTGGAGGGACAGGTGTCCGGGACCCAAGTCATCTGCATCTCACCTGGGCCTAAGGATGTTCCTGTCATCCCATTGGATCAAGGTAAGAAGTGCCTGCCATGAGAGTCACATGGTAGGGCCTGCCCTCCGAGGGGGACCAGAAGTAGAGAATGCAGGGAACCAGGCGACAAGTACCAGCATAGAAGTTGCCTGACCAAGTCTCCTTGTGCCCAACACCCAAATGGGCTATATAACGAGTTTGAGAGCAAACTGACACGCCTCAAAGAAAAACTGAGAAAGAAGGAAATCCCTTGCTCCCATTTGAGTTAAGGCTGCATTGGTGTGCAAAGCGTTTTTCTAGACTTCCCTTCCCTTCTAGGAATGGCTGTGGCTTTAGCCGGTGGTTTCCAGTGGGGTTCTCTCCACAGAACTGGAGGCTTGAGGGATTCTGGCTTAATCCTTCTAAAAGTGTTTCAGTCGCTGAACTTGCCAGACCAAAGGCTGGGCTCTGTGGGATGTGACTGATGACTTCCTCCCTAAGCCAGGGGGTGGGGCTGCCTGGCTCTCAGCAGGATGAAAGGGACTCTGAAGAGATGACTCAGGCAGGTGCTATCTACCACCTGTGCCCCGCGAGCCCTGAGGCAGCCTTATGATTTACCCTCAGGATCTCCACTGGGCCCGCAGGTTGTCACCTCCATCTGTTTTCCTTTATTTTTCCAGATTGGTTTGGGCTAGAACTGCAGCTGAGATCCAAGGAGACAGGGAAGATATTTGTCAGCACCGAGTTCAAGTTCTACAACTGCAGCGCCCACCAACTGTAAGTCCTTGTCAGAGCCTTGCCCTGGGTCTGGATGTGGGTGTGGGGTTTCTCTGAGCTTGAATCATGTCATATTCACCTCCCAGTCTTCCTACGGGGCCCAGTACATTGTCTGGAACAGGGGAAGCTCTCCATCAAGGTTACTTTCCAGTTCCATTCAGTTTATTCAGTTACATTCATCTGAATGGCAGTCACAGACCAGAGCCTCGGGTCTCATTCAGACTCCCTTGCCTGGCCCCACCCCCCAACAACCCTACCCCCAGCTCTCAAGCTAAGAGAGTAAAAAGAAGGTTTGAAGTAAAGACAAAGGTCATGGTCCAGAACCATAAGAAAAAGTCTTCATTTCTGACCAGTTGGTGGTGCATTTGAACATAGAGATTGACAGTGAGTAGAGTTAGACATGTCATCCATGACCAAATGAAGAGGGACTCAAGAGATAAGACTCAGCTATGCATGCAGTTACCCCCAGAGGAGGGACAGGGATGGGGCAATAGCCGTGCCCAGCATCCAGGATAAGGACCTGGGCTGGGAGAGGGAGAGAAGGCTTTAACTCCACTGGGGTTCGAACCCAGCCTTCAACTTTTTAAGAAGGCGGTGGGAACCAGACTAAATCCTAGCCTCCAGAGGGGCTTGAATACAGCCCAGCTGACTTCACCAGCTTCCACAGCAGCAGAATGCCTGCCAGTGGGTCCCCACAAGCTATGAGATCCTACAGCTGCTCAGGAAGCTGGAAGGGCCAGGGGCAGTGGAGAAATGGCCCCACATTCAGTTTCTGCTGAGCCTCTCTGGGAAAGAAACTGAGGCTTCTTTCATACAAAGTGGGAACAATGGTCACGGGACCCGTGACCTTGGACATTCAGCAAGGAGTGAGATCGAACAACAACTCCATACCAGAGGAAACAGTAGTTGGAAATATTCTGTGGACCCATCCTTCCCATTGTTTGGGACGAGAACAGCCTGGGGTCTACATAATGGGCAGAAGTCCAAGGCATCAAGTCTATAGGGTGGGCATGGTGGGCTCAGCATCCACAGGGGAGAGGGTCTGTTTGCAGCTAAACCTGAGAGGAATCTTTAGCCCTTAAAATAGACCAGTGGTCGGCAAACTGCGGCTCGCAAGCCACATGCGGCTCTTTGGGCCCTTGAGTGTGGCTCTTCCACAAAATACCGACTTCTGCGCATGGGCCACGAAGTTTCAATCGCACTGTACGTGCGCGCCCGCACGGGGTATTTTGTGGAAGAGCCACACTCAAGGGGCCAAAGAGCTGCATGTGGGTCGCCAACTGCAGTTTGCCGACCACTGAAATAGACCAATGAGCCAGTCTTCATTCTCCCTTCTCTGCTCTTGATTTTGATGATTAGAATCATCTGCTAGAGTTCTAGGTCCTCCACAGTAGTTAAGGAAGGAGACATGGCTGAGCCCCATTGGGACAAGTCAACAGATGTGCTGAGAAAGGACAAGTGTCAAAAATGGTCCGGGGGGAGGAGCCAGGGCAGGGCAATAGGGCTGAAGTCAAAACAGACAACATTGCCCACTAACCACTGCATTCTAATCCCAGATACCCCTGTTCTGGGAAATGCAAGCATCTTGGGAAAAGAACCTCCCAACCTTCTTCTCAAACTCCAACACAGTGGTGATGGAACCCACTGTTTGTGAGCGCATTCTCACCTCCATGGCAGTCCAGAGTGATGTCACCACTTTCAACCATGCATTGCTATGGCAACAGAGATGCTGCCCCAAGCAAAGTTTTAGGGAAGACAAAAAAGTAGGTCTCCTTGACAGCACAGGTTCCATCCTTTTATTACCAAAAACTATCTCTCTTGGCATTCATAGTAAAAAGTCACAGAACCAAGTTCAATCTCTCCTTTTAGTGTGGGAAACTGAGGCCTGCGGAGGACAAGTGCTTCAAAGGCACAAAATTAGTCAGTGGAAGAGCCAGGATTAGAACCCCATCTCATCATCCTTGGACCATTGTCATTATTTACTTGCCAAATCGTAAGGTGTTAGCAAGAATCAGTCAATCTGGCCTAAGCTCATAAATGAAGTCACTTTGGGCATATGGGGAGGGGAAACAAATGTTCGCCAAGGGGGAGATGAATGCAGTTGGCTGATGCACCCAACACACAGCCAATGGCCCCCAGGGATGGAGCCCCATCTACCCAAATGTAATGAGAGCCCCCACCAGGGGGTGCCAGACTGCAGACCCGCCGTGTCCCTTCCAGGTTGTCCAGTCATGAAAGGCTAGGCTAGGGACGCTGTGGAGGGGCAGGAAGACCAACCCCAGGTTACAGAATCCATTCCCATTATAATGGTCCGGTCATACACAGAGCGCCAAAATAATATGCACATCCTGCAGGTACAACAGCAGGGAGGGAAGCGCTCGCCCTGGCAAAAATGCATGAGCCACACAGCCTATTGCCAGCTATGCCTGGCTACTTGGAGAGCCAAAGTTTCCATTTAATACTGTTTAACTCCCAACGCTCAGGAGCACAAGTGATGTGAACCAATCATTAACAAATACGATTTGAGAGTTTAAAATAACAGGTCATTTAAGGGCTTGAAAATAATACACTTAGCATTGTATTTTTCAAAACCATTTCCTATACATTCTCTGGTTTGATGCTAAAATCCCTGTGGAGGAGCCAGGAAAGTTTGATTACAGACAGATGAAGAAATTCCTATTCAGAAGGTGGAGTGACTGACTCGGGGTGACCCCAGTGGCAGAGGCAGAGGCAAGACTGGAATCAGAGCTGCCCACTTTCTACCCCAGTGCTCTTTCAGCCTTTTTGTCTTATAAGTAGGCCTTTGAAGGGTTTCCCAAACACACTCTCTTGGCCTTGAACTCTTAGTTTCTGAAGCAATCTGTTATATTCAGCCAGAAAAGTGGAATTGCCTGTCCTAGAAGAAATGTTTAACCACCAGCAATCAGGGGGCAGGGGTGTGGAAACCTCATATTAGTGTTTGCCAATTCCTATGGTGTAAATACTCCCTGTGGCCGATTTCAAGCTGTCAACCCACTTGCATGAGCCACACAGCCTGTTGCCACCTATTTATATCCCGAGGATATAAATAACCAGCTCTCATGAACTGATACAGCCAGCTCTAGCACACCTCTGCTTCATAAGTTACAATATTTCTACTCTGGACTCATTTAATTTTTTTCAATTCTCTCGTCCTGTGAATAGCTTAGAAGGAGAACCCACAATGATCCGTGTTGAGGGCTACCCCATCAATATACTGTCCTGAGAATGAGACTATGATCACAGACTAACATCAGGATACATAGGCTGCCTGGTGCCCTTCTCTTCTCTCTCTGCGTCCTTCTCTTTGCCTCTGACTGTCTTCGTCCTTGCAGGTGCCTGTCTTGTGTCAACAGCGCCTTCCGCTGCCATTGGTGCAAGTACCGCAACCTCTGCACTCACGACCCCACCACCTGCTCCTTTCAGGAGGGCCGGATCAATATTTCAGAGGTAAGCGGGGATCACCTTGGCCTGGCATTGTTCCCAGTGAATGTGAGTGGCCCTCCATTTCAGATGGTCAATCCAGCAGCTTGGCCATCTCCTGGCTCTGGCCCATCTTGGTCTTCTTCCAGAGATTCTACATGTTAGAAATCCCTGTTATTATAAAGTTCAAAAAGTGGCAGGAAACACCCCAGAGGCAGAGAAGTGCGCTGTAGCTACTAGACTCCTAAGACCCTATGAATTCAAAAGCTTGAAGGGAACTGAAGGTTGAGGCTGAAAGCTTAGAGGAAACATATCCCACCAAACAGACTCCATGGTCTAGAAAAGTGCAGTGAATGGCGTTTATTCTTTGAGTGTAAGCCCTTTGCTTGGCTGCAGACATAGTCTAGTTCAATAGAACATTCACTCGCAACCATTCTTTCATGCCAGCTTCTCTTCCAAGTGTGAAATTCAATGATTCTCTGACTCTGATGTATGACTGGGTGGGTGGCCTATAGAGAGAGAGAAATTCAGTGAGTGAAAAGAACCAGGCCTTGCTAAAAGTCCCATTTTATTATGTAGTCAATGTTTCATCCCTAAGGCCTGACCCACCTTGGTTATCAAAACAGTGAAAAAAACCATTTGCCTCTCTGTCTATGAATATTCCATCCAATGATTATTCACTGATGTGAACTTTCTTACATATTCACACTATGCCTTAGAACAATGAAGCCTGCTTGGTCAATTACCCTTTCCCTTCCCAGTGTTTTTCATACCTGTGGGTAGTCAGTGGTTGCATTTGAACAACTGTAGAGACTTGATGCATTCACACATATGCACATGTGCACATATACATATATCCCTCTTTTTTTTTCCTTGTAATCCTCAAGCGAGGATATTTTTCCATTGACTTTTAGAGAGAGTGGAAGGGACAGGGAGAGAGAGAGAGAGAGAGAGAGAGAGAGAGAGAGAAACATCAATGTGAGAGAGACACATTGATTGGTTGCCTCCTACATAGGCCCCGACCAAGGCCAGGGATCAAGTCTGCAACTGAGGTATAGGCCCTTGACTGGGATCGAACCTGGGGCCCTTCAGTCCGCGGGCCGACACTATCCACTGAGCCCAACTGGCTAGGGCTAACCATCCCCTCTTAGTCTACCTTTTAGAAATCCACAAATGTAAATGGGTGACAAGTAAGCATTTGCACTTATTGCTATAGCCTCTCTCTACATGTCTCCCTCTTGCACTAAAACCACAAGATCCTTGAAGGCAAAGGTCACATCTTACCTTTAAGTCCTTAGAGCCTTCCTCAGTGAATGTTTGTGGAATCCATGCCTGAAAGAATGGACGGACCAAGGACCACTCTACCCAAATGCCATTGATCGAAAGGGTTCCTTGGATCTATGTGTCTAAGATAGCAAGAAATAGAGTCTCATTTGTCTCCTAATCTTGATAGATGTGCTGGTTGCTTCCATGGATAGACATAAGAAAGCAGGCATAGATAGATAGATAGATAGATAGATAGATGTGTGTATGTGTAATCATCATGGCGTGCACCTTAAATATCTTACAATTTTATTTGTCAATTACACCTCAATAAAGCTAAAAACATTTTTAAAATTAAAATAAAAAAGAAAGTAGGCCTTTGAAAGGTTTCCCAAACACATACTCTTGGCCTTGAACTCTAAAGTTTCTGAAGCAATATGTGTTATATTCAGCCAGAAAAATGGAATTCGCCTGTTATATAAGAGAAACATAGACGGTGCCCAAGGGGATTTAAGGCAGACCCACCCCCAGGTGCCTCACGATGGGATACCTAGTTGCTTGAAAACCTTTGAGAAAAGGTGTCTCCTCCAGCCAGTTGCTGGGCTTTGGCGTAGCTGGTCAGTAAGCAGTGCACTGGTCTTAGTGGACCCTGGGAATCCATCCCAGCCCCGGATTCTGCAGGAGCTGAAACTGCTCTCAGGCCTGTCTTCTCACTGGTAGGAGAGGCCTGAGAGCCCGAGGGAATGGAGTAGGCAGGTTACCCCAGCTTGGGAGTTAATGGAAGAATGGGGAGGGGGGGAGGTGGGCCGGGAAGCGCAGAAGCCACGGGAAGACCTGCACAGGCAGCAAAGGATCAAGATAGTCTCAGAGACTGACCTTCACAGTGGCCACTTCTAAACTGCTAAGTTCCTTAAGAAAATAAATGGAGGTGGACCACAGGGCGGGGTAGGGGAGAGAGAGAGAGAGAGAGAGAGAGAGAGAGAGAGAGAGAGAGAGAGAGAGAGAGAGAGAGGCTCTGGACAAGAAGGAACACTGCTGCATTTGCTCCTATGGTCTCCTCTCAGGCAATTGATACCAAAGCCCAGTCAGCGAATGCCTGCTTTGGAGCGAGGGTAGGAGTGTACAGAGCAAGACAATTAAATGCCTGGTGTGTTAGGTGGTGGGGAGGTGCCCCCCCCCTCTCTCCTTTCTGTTTTTTCTTTTTTTTTTTTGTGTTTTTATTCTCCTCCCTCCCCTCTCGG